TTTATGTCGTACATTTCAATTCTATAGAGAACTTTGCAGACTGAAAGCTGCAAAGTTTGTTTTCTTCTGCTTCAAATTTATAAAATTTATCGATATTTGTGCGCTTGCTTTATAAGTAATAAAAAATTTCTTAACTTAATAAACCGATATATTATTTGTATTAAAAATTATTTATAAATATTGAAAAATAATTCTGACTTTTTCAAAAATAAGATGTTGAGAAGAGAATTTTTTACTATAATTCTCTATATCTTATAGGGACATAGTATATAGAAACTCATGTATATTTACACTACGTTATCTTATTTATTGTAGTTGATTAATTTTCTCCGCTGGAATATCGAATATCGAAGTAAATGGCTGTTCGAATTTCACGATCGAGAACCCACCCGTGACTATAATCTCCGCTTCGACGATGAAATTCTGTGCACGTACAGTCCCGTTCGACCGAGAAGCCGACGTCTTAGTCGAAAGTGTACATTAATCTGACAAAGAAGCTGCTTTCCATATTATCGCGATTTATATCGACCATCTCACGGAGGAGCGTGCGGCTATATTTTCTCACTTAATTCATTTCGCGGGGATGAAGATAAAACTTTGGCGACGGCGAGCTACACCGATTTTCTTCGAGACTAATGACACATTAATACCATCCACCTTCCACATCCTGTAATATCTGCTCGGCGATCCTTGCTCGGGGATTCTCAGTGGCATATTTTTTCAGTTAAACACAAAACGCGCTTGATATAAAAAGAAATAAATTATTAGATTGACGGATTGACGTAGAACAAAATTATATAAAACATACTATCATAACTCTCTTTATTTTATTTTAATTCACGCGCACTCTCTTCCTCTCTCTCTCTCTCTTTCTCTTTAATAGAGAGTCACACAAACTTTCAGTTATTATAACAGTTATAATTTCTAATATTGTAATAATTATAATAAAATTCTCGCGTGTTATAAATTATTTTTTACATCTTATAATACAAGATTAATATATATAATTAATGATAAAATAATTCTTAATTTTTAATTAGAATAACTCTATTCTTAACTTTAAAATTTTTTCTCTCGAGGATTCTTTTGCAGGAGAATCCTTCCTTGAATACTTCATATAGAGAGACAGTGAGTAAGAAGGAAGACCGGAGAGGGTTCGCGCGCATTTGCATGAAGCTACCATAAGCGATTTTCCGTCGCTCTTTATATAACCACTAAATTCAGTATTACGATCGCGCCCTCCCCTCTCTCCTTTCTCACTTTAGTCTGCTAAGCAGGACATGTATAAAAGCCCGCCGGCAAAAAGTGTGATACGTAGTATGGAGAGAGAAATTCGTGCGGGTATTGCGCGAGCGGACTCGTACGTGACCTTGGAGAATTAATGGTATCCAATGTAAAGTCGAAAATTATTTTCGACCGGCCAATATCCAATATCGTCGAGGTGAAATATATGAGTGCGCCGTGGTCACCTTCGATCCATTGACTGTTTATAAAAAGTCAAGCTTTTGCCGCCGAAATCTTTCGCGAACGTATTTGAAATCGATGCGATTGCATTGTCCAAGCGATAACGAGAGTTATATCATGTAATATTAAACAATATTTAACAATATGTGAATTAATGCAATCCTTCAATTATCATACACAGATTTACTATTATTGCTATTATTATCAGTTTCAAGATGACTTGTTAATAATTATTAGTAGAATATGTGAGATTGAGATATAATTAAATAACAGGTATTAATTGCGTGAAATCGATCGATGAAAATATTTGATGTTTATTATTGAACTTCGTCAATTATGTGATAATAAAATTTCAACGAACAAATTATAATCGATCTCTGCAACTGCGAAAGTTTTCCCCCACGATGAGATTTTAAGGTAATTAAATTTCTACTAAGTGGAACTACCGTTTTTAATTCGGTCTTAACAAGAGTAATTTGGTTATATCGATTTTCAATGGCAAATTTCGTCTAGGAGCAATATTAAATTCCCTAATTAATGGCGTAACGGGCGAATAAAATTTGATATTCTAGCGTTGAAACAATACAAACAGCCGGAATCAAAGGTACACATTATCAAGCTCGCCGGCGCTCAGTTTTCCCACCAAATATATCTGTATTGTTGTATCAGATTGTATCAGGATTGTATCAGAGATACAACAATTTTATCAGAAAGGAATAAAACTACCCAATTCCATTTCAACTTTGACTTTACCCGCAGAAAATTTTTCATCGGAAACTTTTCCAATCTTCTATCAGTATTTTCGTTCCGTTCTTTAATCGGTCACAAGTTTTCTAGTGAACTCAGCCGTCACAAGTAATACCTGATTTTTATTTCTGATTGCCATTCTCTTCCGGCGATATATTATAATTCTTTCAAATTTATTAAATATATGGAAAAATTTCTTATTTAATATATTAAAAAGAATTATACTAAAAACTTAATTTGGATAGCAATTATAATATACGTATTATAAAACGGGCATTCTCAGTGGCATATTTTTTCAGTTAAACACAAAACGCGCTTGATATAAAAAGAAATAAATTATTATAAAAAAAGATTGACGTAGAACAAAATTATATAAAACATACTATCATAATATTTTATTTTATATAATAGAGAGAGATATATATGTATCTATAATAGGAGTGAAAATGAAGTTTACATCTTTTTCCAATATTGTGTCATATCATATAATATTTTAATGAAAATCTTAAATTGTAATTTTTAATTAATATTAGGAAAATTTAGTAAATATCTTGATGAAAAAGTTAAAGCTTTTAAAAACAAAAGTGTTAAGAAAGAGAGAGGCAAATCTGTTTCTTTTAGACGATAGAAAAATTCGTAAGACGTTTTAATGGTCTCCGGGAAAGCCGGTGTTCTGATTAAATCGCCTTTCACGAACCAGCCGGTACTACTATTATAAAAGTTGTAACAGCTTTATTACGGCCGCTCGGCTGGAAACGGAAGAATTTTTAATTTCGTAATCGTACAAAGACGATGGCTTTTGAGTTTAAGACTTGAACGAATATTCAGCGTCATTCTTTGTGGATGTGACATCGCTTCTGTTCCTCTATTGGCTACAAGATTGAATCTTGAATTCAAAAGTTTGATCATTTAGTTTTCTTAAACAGTTATTTCTTAAGTTTCGTTATCGATGCATTCCTTTAATCCTTATCCCGAGATAATAATGAATCTGTTAAATTTCTTATAAATTTAAAGTAAAAAATTTCTATGAAAAATCAATTCAACGAATAATAATGCAGAAGACGATTGCAATGTTGCGTCGTTGAATTTTTTAATTAGATCGGTTTCTAGACATCTCGCGGATTATATTCAGCAAATATGTGCAGGTATAGCTTTTTTCTGATAATATTTTAACAATAAATAAAATGAATAAAAATGCGAAGGTTATTAAATATTGTAATTGCGATAGATTGATAAAAAATATATTGATAGATTAATAAAGATTAATAAAGATTGAAGAAAAATTTGAAGAACTTCTCGTTATGCAAAACAAAGTGGATATATGATATGATAAGCGCGAAATATCGAAGAAGGAAAATCGTCTCGAAAGACGCTCGGGAACTAACGCTCGATCTAGAATTGCGCAATCTCTCTATTTTGGCTTTCTTATGGCCAGATCTTGGCTTTGTTCCCGAATTGGGAATGTCCTTCAGTCGGCAGCAAAACGGACATCTCTATGACATACATTTATTCTTAATGCTAATAGTGTGGGAGTGAAAAATGGTTTTATTCGCGCCATATTAATCATAAATGTTAAAATAAAGGCGATCGCACGATTCAACATGTACGTGAAATTTTGTTCGTTTTCCCTTCAAAGCTCAAAGAAAATTCTACTTATTTCACTGGCTTTCGACGTGCAGTAAATTATATGCTTTGAATTATATGGCCGTTTCGTTATACGCGAATTCGGGAGATTCCGCGCGCTTTATCGCGCGAATCTTACCGAACGCTGCCAAAACTCGGTAATATCATCACTTGAATTTACGTCCGAATCATGGCACCATTAATTCTCTAATATCATGTGATAGAACGACTGAGGCCGTCAATAAAGACAGCTTCTGTTTAGTTATTTCGTTTGAACAAATCAACTTCGAAGCATTATCATTTTGCGCAGCGGAATGTTTATTAATGTACTAAATCTATCTTTTGTTTTATCTTCTTTGAAACATTCTTATATTTTATGATTATTGAATTATTATTGCAATCCATTATGTTAATGAGAAATTTCATCAATAGTCAAATTTTGCTTTAATCAATGCTTAAATAATGCATAATTTTGCTTAATAATTATCCTATTTCAATAATATTTCTCTCTTTGAAACTGTGGGTTAAAAGAATTTGCAAATTAATTAATATAATATATTTGTTTTTAGAGACTTGAGTACCATTTTTCGTAATGCGACGTGTCGCGAATTAAAAATGACGTGCCTATTATCCGCATTTATCCATTAATGACTTATGTATTTGATCGCCACGAATCATACCGATTGATTTTACGGGGTTTCTTCTCGTCTTCTCGTCGCGGATAAATAGTTCGATTCAATAGTGTTTGCGCTGCGAGATTAATTGGCCTTGCCTCGGACTTAGGACTCGACCTATTCGCTCAACTGGCAATGCTAAATATTCCCGCGTTTATCGGCAACAATCGCGCGGCGTCATAATTGATCGAGCTTCATTCCGCACGACTTGATGCAGCTTGTCATCTGATTTGACGGATGACTTACAACTTACAAAAACAGCAACGAAAATTTTTACTAAGAAGTTTATTTTTACTGAGAAATTTGTTTGCAAAATATTATTAAAAAATATATTAAAAAGCGAGAGAGAAGAATATCACTTTAATCAAATTTTTACTTCTTGATTAGCTTTTGTCTGCGAGTTAGCGCGAATATAAATGGCAAAAGTACGTCACCTATAGAGAAATCTCGAGATAAAGTCTTACGTGTAAAAAATATTGTGGCTTTTTTCAGTCCACCGACTTTCAAAACAGCTACGCCGACATCACGCACGCAATTAAAGCTGCAACTGATGCGGGAGCAGCTGCAGGAGCAGGAGAGACGACAAGCGGAATTCCGGCAGAGCTTGCAGCAGCAGAGGCCAGCTGCCGCACCGCCTAGACCGGTGCCACCTACCTCGTTGCCCACTATCGGCGTCGATGTGCCACCGCAAGTATTACAAGTATGTGCTGCCATTGCTCGATTTACGCGATCGATGCTAAATTGCCCGCGCACGAGAATCAAATCATACAGTATTATGAGATTGCCTCGTACGAGATAATATTGGATTATTATATTAAATTTGCAGCTAGCAAATTTTATCTTATTTGTTTTTTCTTTATGTGCAAGTAATTATTATTAAATTTTATGTTTAATTATATAAAAATTATATATAATTTTTTTCCCGTAATATTTATTGAATATATTTTAGTCCTCTTTTGTCTGCCCTCTCTAACTTTTTTTCTTTAATTTTTATATATTTAATGTTAAGCAAAGTTTTGTATCAAACCTAGAGTTTGTGCTAGATTTCGTACTAAGTACCGAAGTGCCCAAAGTCCAATGCGATGGTCTTCCCGATGGGTAGTATCTTGTTATCCAAGTAGCGGGGGGGAGGGTCAAACATCCGGTTACCGTCGTTTGCGTTTCCGTCGCTTCAAGCATTATGCATATATATATATATACGTACAGGAGGACGAGTTAAGATAACGATATCTTATAGTTTCGAGGTTCTTGTAGTTTGCTGTATCGTAGTAAGGCGAGCCGAATTGTCGATAGCGTCGTTAATAGATCTATTGGGTACATCGTGTCTATATTGTTAAACGTCTCGGAATAATGTCAGGTTGTGAGAGAGGGCACGGGAAGAGACGTAAGAGTCGTCGTACGGTTTATCTTGCAATTAGCTCCACGCGCAATATGGTCACTGTGGTCACGAATGACCGATAATGTCTTCATCACATAATGTTTACACGCAAAATGATCTTTAAGATTGCAGAGACTTTATCTTTTTCTAAATATATAAATTACAATAATCCTAAAAAATTTTTTTGGAGTAACAAATCTTACAATAGAATAATTCATAATTAATTCTCAATTTTATTTTCTGCTAATGTATGTTAACCGCGTTTCTGGATCCTGAATCTTTAACCAATTTTTTCAAAATATTAAATTTAAAAATGTCGCATATCTTATGTGTGACAGTATATTTAAAGTAACGTCGCGAGTTAGCGTTGAACGTCAATTTAATTTTTCTTTCTTTAGATTTTTCTTTCGTATTAAAATATTTTTTAAAAATATCAATTTTATTGAATAAAAACAAAATCAAACTGGCCAATCAGGGCGTTTATTTCTATCTCCAATTTCATCTAATTAAATTTTATTCTTAATTTGATTGTTGACAACATAATTACAATATAATATATTTAAATTTAAATTCTCGAAAATCTGTAGGTGCGCACGCTGCTGGAGAATCCGACGCGTTATCACGTGGTGCAGAAGCAGAAGAACCAGGTGCGCCAGTACCTGCACGAGTCGTTTCGCGGAGGCGAGGGCGGCGGCGGCAATGCGGTCCTCGGCGGCAGCGCCGATAGCGAGGGTGGCTGCAGGACGCCGGTCGACGCCGGGCCACCGCCCGTCCCGATGGTGGTGCAAAGTGCACCGCCCGGCCCGCAGCTGCATCACCCGAAGCCGCAGCATCCTCATCTCGCCTCGTACCCGCATGCCCCCGCGCTGCTGCCGCATCACCCCGGTAAACCCACGGTGGTCTCGGTGAGCCCGGACCCCGCCACCACCGGCACCATGTCCCCGGGTTTGTCCAGCGTAGCTACCAGCAACTCTGAGGTAAGTTTGTATGTGTATGTGTGTATGTAATATATGTGCGCAGGGATAACATGAACGGTACAGCGCAGTATTTCTCATATCGGATAACGTGAGAAAATATTTGATTACTTTTTTTTTTCTCGTTTAGAATTTTAATTGTGTAAGTTAAAGTATAAAGATTAAATTATATAAATAAGAATTTTTTAAAAGATTTTTTAGATAAAAGCTAAAAATTAATTAATTCGAATTATTTGACATCGAGTTAAATAAAAATTGAAACGCAATTGGAAAATTGTATTACCTTACGTTGTTGTTGTGAGAGTAATTTTTAAAATTTAGAAATGCGCGAGTATGTTCAATCGAGATGGCGCATTCGCATTGAGATGCGAGGAAAGCTATTTTTCTTTGTAAGTCATTCCCGTTCATTTTATCCAATCTAAGTGCGATTGAGTTTTCGATTGACGCTAACTGGTCTTACGTAATCCATCGGTTATCCCGCATCGCCGGGCGCGATGGATTCATTCTCTCTCGCTTGTTCAATAATTAATCACAGATGCTTTCGACATCATCGATTCTTGCATAATCTCGCGAAATGCACATTCGCGCCATGAAAATAATTTCTCGGCAAGACTCTACAACTCTCGCGTTTGCAGTTTTCTTTAACCCGATTGCCGATACTCCCGATCATTTCTCGTCGTCGAACGAGGTACGAACGAGGTATTGTTTCTTTTTTCTTTTCTTGCAGTCGTCTTAAAAGAATCCGCAAACGCGAGAGATCCGCGCATGCATTTAGCACTATACCAAAAGCACGTTTCATGACGCTGCAACATCCAAGTAGGATTCGCGGCACGCACGCGGTGCTAATTGCCGCCTCGGTTTGCAAATCGATCTGATTTGCGTCGCAAAGCAAATCCATAAGCGATCGCGAAGAGGAAACCACGAAAGTAGGTCCCTGGAAACATTTGGTTCGTATTCTCATCACGAATTTAGCACCGTAGCTCTTCAATTACGAATCTTCGGTGACACACCACGGTGTGCACAACATATTATTTTTATGGAATGAGCTATTTTTAACATCAAATAGCGAACGAGAACGCGAGTATCTGCGCACTCGTTAACTATGTTTAAAGAAAACGTTTCCATTTGAAACGAAACTTTTTTTTTACGGAATATAATTTAATCTGCTCATTATAGAAGTCTAATATTGGCATATTTAATATTATCTTTTCAATGCTATATTTTATATTTTTAACATCGTACCTTAGTGATACGATGCTTACTTTTAAATGATAATAGGTCAATTAAAAATTCAAAATTATTGATTTTACTTTTCATATTTCGGCAAAAACGGCAAAGTCAGTGACGGACCAAATATATTAATATTAATATTTGAATAAAAATTAACTCGTTCTCTCCTTCTCTCAAAGCGTCAAACGCTCTCCATCACGGACGGGGAGAAAATTTACCGCTAAATTCGGCGCTCTGATTTTAAACCTTTGCTTGCACACAACGTAATATTCCGTGGAAAACTTGGAATCAGCAAACTTTGACGTATCAAACGCGCGCCGATAAAGCTCTTTGCGTCACGTTCTTCTCAACTTGCCGTTAACGCAGAAATTTTTGTCGCGATTAATTCGTGCGACTTTCATCAAAAAGAGTTATAAGACATTTGACGTAAAGATTATACACATATATGTGCAAGATTTACTTAATCCTCCTACATCGCAAGTTATAAGTAATAATACGAATAAGTCCTTGGGTTGTGCGCGTAGTACCCGGTATATGATGCGTACAAGAAACGAACTGGTGGCTCGTTAACTCATCATCTTTACGATCCCGGGGCTCTTAATAAAGCGAAATTGTTTTTGGTGACGATGATATACGTACAAACATACATACATACATATACACATACGCACGACACACACATGCACACCACATACCACGAGCGACCGCCTTTAAATTGATTCTTTGATCCGTCGTACCCCGTCGTTCACATATACCGGGTGTCTCGACCAATACTCTCAATAAATGTTTACATTTACACGTTTCCTGTTAATCCACGCGCGAGATTTCCACTTGCGATTTTTTCTCACGTTGATTAAACTCTTCCGCGCCGTGAACTTCTCGGATATCAAACAAGTTCAGGCTATATTTGTAGGAGGAAAAAACCCATTCACGGAACATAGATATGGAATAAAGTTGCGATTATTGACGTAGGACGTAAGATATTTGCATTAAAAATACAGCTCTTAAATGAAAAGCAATTTTTTTATGCAACGAAGTTACATAAACAAATTCATTTATTTTCCTTTATAGACTATAATATATTATTGATTATATATTTCTTAAATTGAAAATATATAATATGACAATAATATATAATTAACTTAGTGAACAATATTCTCGAGCGATTATATCTGTTAATACATATCTATTATTATTTCAATCTTCTCGTCGATTTTACTTCTCTCGATTCGCTTTCAAGAAATTTCGTCACACGTACATACTTAGATCGCAAATATAATTTTATTCAGTGACGGAAGTCTCGAGAAAAATAGCAGCAGGTTAATATTTGCGCTTCTTCAAACGGCTACGATCTCGTTCGTCAGCGACCGTCCAGTGGCGGCTGGGTCTCCATTTTGAATAATGGATCAGACGCGCGCGTTTCGCGGGACAAAGTAGATATTTGCGGCATTCGCCGACAAGAGACAAAGTGCTTTTAGTCGAATACCCGCCTGTAGCAATTTGTGCGATGCATTCGTCGACATATATCCTCGATTATTATGGACGTTCGGCGTCGTCGATACCGCGAGGATATTCAATATCTCTGGAGTTCTACAAGGTGGAATGAAATATTCCGTTTGGCGAGCGCACGATTACTTTCGACGGTTCTACGGTACGTAGCGCCGTAGTATTGACCAGCTTTATTTTAATGAGGCATTTTTAAAGGAGCTATCATTCGTGTTCACAGCTTTTAAATATTCGCGATAACTCCTCTTTTTCTTTATTGTGAACGTTATTTTAATATACTATAATTATCAGACTTTATTGTGATAAACACATTGGATATGAATTCTTTTTCTATCACGAAAGGAATGTACACATCGTAAATCTTGTTGTGAACACGATATAAATCGAGAGCAAGTGCGGTCGCTTTTACTTTCGGTATACGTTCGATTGCGCCATGCGAGACAGATAGCACCGAGCAGCGATTTCTTCTGCTTTGATATTCGGCTCGCATCCGTGAACATGGAGAAATTCTGGTCTCTGTTGAACAGTCGTAAAAACAATCGTAAAAGAGACGACGCATTTAACATCTCTCGATCGCGTTATCTTCGCGCATCTACAATTTTAACGATGCCTTTTGTTCGGAAAAGTATATTTGTGCAAGCATATTCGAATGGATTCTACTCTCGAGATTTTATCGCGTGTGAGGAATGATCTCGATGCGTGCGTCGCCGATATCGTGACCGTTTGAGCGCAATTAATCTTCGTTACACGGTTCGTGTATCGAGTGTGTGTTCGCTATTAATTTCTATCAAGGTTACTTTTGTAAAATTAAAGTTTTACAAACATCTATGAATTTCTTACAACGATGAATACTATTAACTGCTCCAATTTCTGTAATATTTACATATAATTAATAGTGCTTCTGGAAACGGAGAATTTTCCTGCTTTTTTTTTTTTTTTTTTACCAAGTTTTTAATGGTATTTTGAGCTTAGGATATCTTAGAATTGCAAAATCTTGGCAGTCGATGTGCTATGGGCTTAATTTTCATTGGCCTGATATATTCACAATGTATGCAAATCTTAAGCTCTTAATACATCGTAGTTTGAATGGCTTAGGGTCTTAGTATGACCCCCGTATTTGCACCTGTTGCAATGCAGAAATGTCATTTGTACGCTAGCATTTATATATAACAGTTTCGCCTAATATATATTCAACAAGATTCACCGTCCAAATTGTATAATTCACAGCAAATTGCTAAATTAATTAATGCTTTTTCCTTTCATATTAACATATACAGATTTTTATTTTTAAAGACCAAGTTTAAGGAAACAACGACAGGGTAAAATAAAAAAATATCTAACCTAACAGTATTAATTAGAGTACTGATTATAAAAAAAATAATTTCAGAAACTTCTTTCTCTTTTTCTCTTTCGCACAAATAAGATTTCTCTAATCAGATTCTTAAAAAAAAAAAAATAAAAATTTTATTTTAGATGAATCGAATTATATGAATTTATTTCAAGTAAAACGCTGTCTGCTTGATATTCCATTTCGTACACGGTTTATTTGGCCGTTTGTCGCGCGAGACAGCAAAGCTATTATCAATTTATAGATAAAATATAAATACACATTGCTGGACCCGGAATCGATTGGCATAAATCTTTCATTGCGATCGAAATACATTCTGGTTTCCATAGCGCCAAGCGCATCGTCGACGAAGGCGGCTCGGAACGAAGAATCATAAATTAGCGGCGGCGCGGACATTTAGGCTCCGTTATGTAATAGATATTTTCTCCTCGCGTTCGTCTCTCTCTTCGCGTCTGACAAACTCCATCTAAATATTCCCTACCGCCGTTCCTGCCTTCTGCAGTATTTCAGCCGATTGCGCTGCTTGGGCGACTCTAGTTTAGTGACGTCGATAGATCGCGCTTACCAAATACGAGATCTGCTTCTGTAACCAAACCGAGTGTCTCGTATTTGTAACGCGAGCTCGGAATACGTAATGCCAAGTGAAAGAAAGAACCTAGATCTGTATCCGAATTTTTTTTTAGTGATTGTCTTGCTGATTTATATATATCATAAACTCGATAAAGTAGAAATTTATACATGATAGAGAGAAAGAGAGAGAGAAAGAAAGAAAGAATATATGTGCGATCATTGTTTCAATTTTTCTTGAAGCTTATTATTCTTTGCAAATTACACGAAATGTGACATAATGTGTAGAAATTGTTCATTCTGCAAACATTGCATATTATATTTTAGAAAAATTGCAAATTTTGAATATATT